ATTGTCTCCTTTCTTTCTTTCTTGAAATTTAGGTTGTATGGAAAATTACAAACTTCTAAAATGTTAGGGGTCTTAATTTCTTGTTTCAAACACATTTTGAAAATTGAAATTCTTGAGAAGTCCAAAAACTTTTTCAAAACTCAAAAACACATTTCTTCTATGATTTAATAAATCCAGAAATTTAAAGGAAAGTTTTGATCAAATATTCGAAAACTTTAGTTAGAATTGCACACAAACTAAAATTTGACTTGTCGAGACTTTTAACTAAATATTAAGGGTCTGTTCTCTTTATCATTTTTAAGTCGTTTTCTGTTTTCGATTTTCCAAAATAGTGAAAACGCTAATGATGGCAAACTAGTCGAGCCGAGCCGGCTCGGCTCGTTGCCCACGAGCTAGAGCTCGTGGCTTGTTATAGGGCGAGCTCGGCTCGGCCCATGAGCTCGTACTGTAGCGAGCCGAGCTGCTCGGCTCGGACTCGCCTTTTTTGAAATTTTTTTTAACTATCCTTCTTTTAAAAAAAAATTAAATTTAGACGAGCCGCTCGTCAAAAACGAGCCGAGTAGGCTTGGCTCTCCTATCGAGTGGGCCTGCTTGGCTCGTGCGGCTCGTGGGCCGCTACAGTACGAGCTTGTGGGCCGAGCCGAGCTCGCCCTATACAATTGAAATTCTTGAGAAGTCCAAAAACTTTTTCGAAACTCAAAAGCACATTTCTTCTATGATTTAGTAAATCCAGAAATTTAAAGGAAACTTTTGATCAAATATCCGAAAACTTTAGTTAAACGAATTTTCAAAACACGCTTTATGTGTTTTCAAAACAATTTTTCAAAATAGCAAAAAGAACACATTTTTAACAATCTCAAAATGGACATTCAAACACAACAAACCCAAAATGAATTCAAAACTCAAAACACAAAATTGAAACACAAGGAGAACAGCCCCTAACTTATTAATGGTAACATTTTACCATCGTACTACAATAAATTAAAATAAAATTACGGTTCAAATCGAAGTTTAATATTTTATGTTCAATTATGAAACAGGGTAGCATTGTGTGCATCCAATTGAATTAATGCATACATCTGTCTCCCTCTACTCCACTGTATTGTTTTAGTGCTAACATATATAATTTTGTCTCTACTGATTGTATGTATGCAATTCGATATTTACTCAATATATTTTATTTATGTGCCACTCACCGGCCTAGTTATAATAAGACACCCGTGTAAATAATAAATTACAATATTATTTTTTATATTTAATTACCCATTTGACCTCAAATATTCTATTATATGACAATGGCGTTTCGTAGTGGGAAATCTTTGTCGTGATGTAATGACCGACTCAATTAAGTGAAATCAGTTGGTTAGACGGTGACTTCATTCGTATATTTTTTATATTATTGCTTCATACTCTACTGGTAAGCCATGCAACTGGCCATTGCCCTACTAATATTCATAATAATGAGGGTAAAAAAATGCATGTTGGGCTACTTATTGGACTCGACCGATGTGTTTGATTTGGACACGTCAATAGGGATGAAAAAAATATCTTGCATTCGCTCAGTTGGCGAATCACTGTGAACGATGATGTTTAACACCATTATGGATAACGATGACATTCACTTTTAGTTGTCGAATGAATAAAAGAAAATCACAATTTAAATGTGTTTGATTTGAACATGTCAATAGGGATGAAAAAATATCTCACATTCGCTCAGTTGGTGAATCACTGTGAACGATGATGTTTAACACCATTCTGGATGACGATGACATTCACTTTTAGTTGTCCAATGAATAAAAGAAAATCACAATTTAAATGTTTGATTTGGACACGTCAATAGAGATGAAAAAAATATCTTGCATTCGCTCAGTTGGCAAATCACTGTGAACGATGATCTTTAACACCATTATGGATAACGATGACATTCACTTTTAGTTGTCGAATGAATAAAAGAAAATCACAATTTAAATGTGTTTGATTTGAACATGTCAATAGGGATGAAAAAATATCTCACATTCGCTCAGTTGGTGAATCACTGTGAACGATGATGTTTAACACCATTCTGGATGACGATGACATTCACTTTTAGTTGTCCAATGAATAAAAGAAAATCACAATTTAAATGTTTGATTTGGACACGTCAATAGAGATGAAAAAAATATCTTGCATTCGCTCAGTTGGCGAATCACTGTGAACGATGATGTTTAACACCATTCTGGATGACGATGACATTCACTTTTAGTTGTCCAATGAATAAAAGAAAATCACAATTTAAATGTTTGATTTGGACACGTCAATAGAGATGAAAAAAATATCTTGCATTCGCTCAGTTGGCGAATCACTGTGAACGATGATGTTTAACACCATTCTGGATAACGATGACATTCACTTTTAGTTGTCCAATGAATAAAAGAAAATCACAATTTAAATGTTTGATTTGGACATGTCAATAGGGATGAAAAAATATCTTGCATTCGCTCAGTTGGCAAATCACTGTGAACGATGATCTTTAACACCATTATGGATAACGATGACATTCACTTTTAGTTGTCGAATGAATAAAAGAAAATCACAATTTAAATGTGTTTGATTTGAACATGTCAATAGGGATGAAAAAATATCTCACATTCGCTCAGTTAGTGAATCACTGTGAACGATGATGTTTAACACCATTCTGGACGACGATGACATTCACTTTTAGTTGTCCAATGAATAAAAGAAAATCACAATTTAAATGTTTGATTTGGACAGGTCAATAGGGATGAAAATATATCTTGCATTCACTCAGTTGGCGAATCACTGTGAACGATGATGTTTAACACCATTCTGGATAACGATGACATTCACTTTTAGTTGTCGAATGAATAAAAGAAAATCACAATTTAAATGTGTTTGATTTGAACATGTCAATAGGGATGAAAAAATATCTCGCATTCGCTCAGTTGGCGAATCACTATGAACGATGATGTTTAACACCATTCTGCATAACGATTATATTCACTATTAGTTGTCAAATGAATTAAAAAAAATCACAATTTAAATGGGCTATCAAACCTAGATTAATACTAAATATAGACCACTGGTATAAAATAACATTTACTCTTAAATAAATGAATTGATGTAACAACTATTTTAATTTAAATAGCAGTCAAGCAATGGGCCAATGGCTCATAGATTCCACTAATGATCGACTAGTGACCTAATGATCTGGTGCTTTATCTTGGCCAACAACTGAGTTGGGTCTAAAATTGTAATTTCCAATATTATTTTTTATATTTGATATTAAAAATAAGTAGGTCATTTTTTTTATTCCAAAGTGTTTAAAAAAAAAAAACACTAATGTAAATTTTTCTGAAAATAAATCAAATCAAATTACTTATGAGCTTAAACAAGCATGGCCACAATTTCCAATTTGAAATATTTGATTGGGTGGGCATTGGTGGGTCAAGTTTCAGCTTTTTCCATCCGCCTTCCTTTCCTTTCCTTTCCTTTCCTTGTATATCAATCAACTGCCAAAGTTGGGTACAAAAACTTACACCTAAATGTTTGTTTGGAATAGCTTAAAAGTTGATAAAAAATTAAACAATTAATTTTAATCACATATTTCATTGATCCACACTTTTTATCAACTTTTCAACCACACATTTTATCAAATTTTGTCAAAAGTTTCGTCAAACAACCCGTAATAAATGGTAACTGAATATATTGCTTAAGTTTAGGGTTCTTCTCGAGAGATAAATCAAAATTCCAATTGGATTGAATCTTTAAGGTTATTAATTGGATTTAAACTCCATAGTTTTTTAAGTTTTAATTGGATTTATTATTTTATGAGAAATAATGTGCAAAATTTCATTATCATGTCATGGATAATAGTAAGTAATATTTATAGAAAAATTAAATTCCAAATTGTATTAAAATGTCCATGAAATAAGATAAAACAATTATGTCACAATCAAGATAGTTGTACAATATCAAGTCTTATCGAGATTAGTAGGTCACAACTGCAGTGCCTTTACCACCTCAACTTTTTCTTCTAACCACGCTTTTTCAAAGATACCCTCTAAGGGGCTATCTGGAGGGGAATTTTTTGGGCCAAACGATTGATTTTTTATCCCTTTTTATCAAACCTACAGGCTAACTGTGAGAGAGTGAGTCAAAAGTTGCGGCTCTCAACGGCTAGAAAATTGATGACAACGGCTAGAATTGTGCTGTTCAGCAGAAACAGACAGCCCCTAAATATATTTGATCATATTTAGTATTTTTATTCATGAGATAATTTGAATTGGTATTAGTATACTTATTACATAAGTCAATATAATACATCGAATGTAGTACACATCCTCTACAATCATGTTATACAAGGATTATGAGTCAATATAAGACATCGAATGCGGTCCATATCCTCCACAGTCGTGTTGTACAAGTATTATGATTCAAACTTGTTTTTAGAGCTTATGACAAATGGGAATTTGAACGGATAGAAACGAGTTCATACACGCTTTATACAACTCGAGTTTTGTACCTTTGCAAAGTCGCGCATCAAGTCAATTCAAGTCAGATCGAACCTGATAAAAATCCAACAGCTCATACACATTCGTCCAAAACCACATTTGTATAAGCTTAATTTCTTGTACATAGATTTGTTAGACGGGGAGATGAGAGTGACATGCTAATATTTTAGTACTTTGGAGTTGGGTTTTCATTAATATTCTGCTTTTGCATTTGAAGGTGAAAATGACTACCTCAAGAATTTTACTTGCAAGTTGAGGAAGTGGGCATAATTTTTATATCAATCGATTAACGCAATTTATACGACATACGATTGAATAAAATTTTTAATTAATTTTTCTTTATTCGGTCCAAACTAACATATTTATACTGAACTCCAAGAACACTAAGAAGAATAAAAGTCTCTGTTGTTTGCTTCCATATATAGTACAGCGGGAATTACAAAACTTCAGCATTCATATTATTAGAATTTTGAACTTTAGATTCTGATAATGAAGGCGCGAAGAGGAAAGCGATCTGAGGTACGAATTTATTTGCTGTAATAACAATTCTGGCATGTTATTTTGCCTAGGTTTATGATAATTGACAGTGTAATGTTTCATTTTTCACGCAGCCATTTTGGCCGTCCATTGTGATGAAAAAATGGCTGAATATAAAGCCAAAGGTTAATGATTTTAGTGAAGATGAAGTTGATACAGAAAGCGAGGATGATGGTGAGGATTTCGTTAATTAATTGCCCATGAAAATTCATTCCGTGATTGATCGTTAATTTTATGAATATTTGTTCAATTTGAATTCAGCTTGTTCCGTTAAAGATGAAGGGATGAACAATGATAATGAATATGCGACACAGAGAAACCAATCCTTATGCTCAAGTCGAACTTCAAGCGGTAAATAAACACTGATTCAATAATTTTAATCCATCAAATACACATGGGTAGCCCTATTTATACTTCAATTATGATGTGCAATTATGATTCAATTGCATGCATGGCTGCCCTCATATACACACCTCTCACATGCTACCACAAATATACCTTTTGGGTAGATGTTTGGTATGCAATTCCAATCAGGATTAGACAGTATTAAAGAAGAAAAAGAGTTTAATGTCCTTAATTTATATGGATCCTCTAAACTACTGGATTACAAAAAAATTAATATTTACAATGTTTTTATTTCTGTGATGCCTTTTGTGCATAATGCTGTCTCAATCTTTTTGACTAAATTTCATGTAAGTTTGCTTCATTTTTTTACTATATTAGGACTTATGCCCATCTTCAATTTTGATCTTATATTAGGGGGCCAGATCAAATAGTAAAGATATTTTATCTGATTAAGGTATAGATCTGAAGTTTATTTCTGCAAACATATTGACACAAAACTTATTTATCCAGGGACACCTTCGAAAGAGTATTGCCTAAGACACCGGAGAGGAAAATCAGAAACTCTGCGTCTTCAGTACATAAATACAAAAGATGTGAGGTTTGGCACTAAAATAAGTATCTGTAATTTTACTTTTGGTTTTAACTTTGATTGCAATGAATCTTCTGTGAATTTATTTTGTTCCTGCTGATTCACTAATCATTATACTGGTCAATTTTGTGCAGAGTAATGATAGGCACTTGGAATGTCGCTGGAAGACTTCCATTTGATGATCTTGAAATTGATGAATGGCTTTGTATGCAAGATCCAGCAGATATATACATTCTCGGGTAAGCACTTATGAATCGATAAATTGTTTTCAAAGACTTCTAACTAGTCTGTCTATATAGGCTGTTTTTAGCAAATTTTGAGGACCTCTATTTGGTGGGTTCACTTAGCTGGATAACTTTATGCTCACTTTTAAGTCAATCCAAGAGCTTGAGTTTCAGCACTAACTTTTCACTCAATTTTTTCCAATACTGTTTTTTCAATCGGATTATAAAACTGTTTATTCATTTCAAACTGTAAAATTGAATTTTTTTTTTCCTCCTAAAGCAGAGTAAATTGAGGGTATGGTACACTAACAACATCCCAAAATTATGTAAAATTTTAGAATTGAGGTATGATACATCTTTATAAGTATATTCATGTAGGGATGTACAGTGTTAGGTTCTGTTGTATTCTAAAAACAACACGAGTTACTGCATGTCTAGAAGCACAGTGATTCGCCGTTACAATTTTATGCTTGATTCAGCATCCTAAGATACATCTTACTTCCTCCCATATATATATATATTCAATGACCGCCTTGCTTACTTTGACATGGCTTCTTTTTTATGGAATGTGTTTGTGAGTATCATTGACAATATTTGATTGATTCTCGCTTCATTTCGAACCGGAGGATTTGATTTCCCTTAAATTCAATGCATTTATAAAACGAAAACTTAGAGAGAAGATTTACTGTCCTTCGAATTCCATTTGATTTTCTATTCCTTCTAAACTCTTTTTATACAGATTCCAAGAGGTGGTTCCTTTGAATGCTGGGAATGTACTTGGAGCAGAGAACAGAAGTTCAATTCGGAAATGGGAGGCTATAATCCGCAGGACTTTAAACAAATCTTTGGAACCTGAAACCATACACAAAAGCTATAGTGCACCTCCTTCTCCAGTTTTGAGGACTTCTGCTGCTTCTGATATCCTTGTTGATGTGGCTGACACCCCTGTGCTAAACATGACAGGAAAAGATTTTGTAGGTATCATGAATGATGGTAATAATGAAATAATCAGCACTGGCGTTGATTCTGGCAGAAGATTGGACTGGCCGGAACAATCATTGGATGCAACACCTCAAGATCTATCTTCTGTATTCAAATTACGAAGAACAATGAGTAGTTCTGCAGGATTTGGTTTGGAATTGATGGAAAATTCTCCTAGTTCCGGCACTGAGAATATTGCATTAAGTGGTTATGGGTTGAAAAGAGTGCACCAAAGTTCTGGAAACTTAGGCTTGATCTGGATGGATCAACAAGTTGGACTTGAAGTTCTAGATTCTCTCTCTGACGAATCTGATCAAATTTCTGGAGAAGAAGATGATTCTGTTGTACAGTTACTATCGGAGGTCAAACCGAAAATTGCACATTCAAGGAAAGCAGTGAAGTCGCGTCCACAGTATGTGCGGATTGTAAGTAAGCAGATGGTTGGAATATATGTATCGGTATGGGTGCGTAGAAGATTAAGGAGACACGTAAACAACTTAAAAGTCTCTCCTGTTGGAATTGGGCTTATGGGATACATGGGCAATAAGGTATTGCTTCTTGGAGTTATGAGTTCAGCTCAATGAACTGAAAATCCTTCTTTTTCAAAATAAATGGAAACCATTACATTCCTGGCCTTTTGTTGCCAACAAGTTCTGCATCAACTGATTGGTGTTGGAAGTATTAGAAATCTGTTCATGCCATATGCAGAGACTTGTCTTAGTTCTAAATTTTGATGTCCCAAGTGTAAATACACATATTTATGTTTGTTCTCGTCAGATGTTTGAATATTTTGCTATTATATACATGTTCTGTGCAGAGTTATTCAGTTATATTGCCATTTTCATTAATCTGTGTCTGACTATATTATACCTTCTGTTCAGGGATCTGTTTCAGTTAGTATGTCTCTTTTCCAATCACGGCTATGCTTTGTGTGTTCTCATTTAACCTCTGGTCAAAAGGATGGGGCTGAGCAAAGGCGTAATTCTGATGTTCACGAGATTTTAAGGCGTACTCAATTTTCATCTGTCTTTGATGTTGATCAGCCACAGACAATTCCATCTCACGAGTATGTTATATTGTATGAGTTTAATTGAATTTTCTCTTTTTGTCAGGGTAAGGACACATAGGAATACTTATTACCTACTCCTTAACAAGGAAAATTTAGATCTCTCTCTCTCTCTCTACTTTAAAGTCGTGAAAAAATTCCTGAATAACACCTACCAATTCAATTTTCGACTTTTAAATATGTGTTCTTTTCATTAAGTGAGTTCTTGCATTCGTGTAAACTGAATTATTATCAATGTTTCTAATAACAGCAAGGTATTCTGGTTTGGAGATTTGAATTATCGCATCAATATTTTGGACGCTGAAGTGAGGAAGCTTGTTGATAAGAAGGACTGGACTGAGCTTCTCAACCATGATCAGGTTTGAGACTCAATTCTCATTTTTTCCTAGATCAATATAATTGTTTGTTGGTCTAACTGCTGTTACCAAGATTATGATGATAATTTGTTGTCTATGAATTGATAGGTTGAATGTCTATATGCATTTATTTTGGACCCTCACATGTTAAAGAACAACCTTCGTACCTTGAGAAGAAGCGATTTTCCTTATCAAATACTGAGTTAAAGAGGAGTTTTTCACTTATTAATGAATAACTTTTATAATTTTTACACGGAGGACATAATATAAAAGTTTTTGTTTATCTTTTTGTATTTCATTACAGTCTTCATGACATTTTGTTCGTAGTATAAATCTGGAGTGCAGTGTGAATATACACTTAGATGTGGATTAATCGATTACCATTGTTTATCTTTTATTGACCAATCTTGATCGCTTTTCTTTTTGTTTGGCCTTAATTTGGGGTGTAGATAGATACTGAATACTATGTTTGTTAATGAAGTTGGGAGGAGTGCTTTTTTAATTATTAGCTGAGATGCAGTTTTGGGTTGATATGCATATATATTTATTTGATGCCTAATGACGGGAAACTTTGGCAGTTAATCAAAGAACTAAGAAGTGGGCATGTGTTTGATGGTTGGAAAGAAGGGGTAATAAACTTCGCACCGACTTACAAATATGAAATCAACTTTGATAGATACGTTGGGGAAAACCCAAAAGAAGGAGAGAAGAAGAGATCCCCGGCATGGTAAGTGAGACTGTTGGTGGATCATTACTCTAAATCCACACAGTTATTGTCCATACTGAACAATTCCCGAATTGCGGTCGACTGGACGAAATTCTGTTATTTCTACTCGTCTACAAACCAATATTTCTGGAGAATGCAACTGTCTAATTTCTATGGAGTTAAGTTTACATTAAGTGTTAAAAACCAACCGATACTTCACTTGATTTAGGGAAGATGAGTAGCAGGGACACCAGTCTAGGGAAGGAGATCACAGTGCAGCTGAAGTTTTTGAAGCATGAATTCAGTGTGATCCAAAATGCGACTTACTGAAGGAACATATTGCTTTTACTTCTGGATCACACTGAATTCACTAAGTAGCATTCTGGATTGCACTGAATTCACGCTTTACACGAAAAACTTATCTCGGGCCTTAGACTGGGTTCCCTGCCTCTTCTGTAAATCAAGTGAAGAATGGCTTTGTTCTTAACATTTAGGGATTGCACAGTTAGTGCATGTTTGGTGCACTGGAACAGATAGTACAGTTAAAAAAATTTGAACTTCTTTTTTCTTAATACTGTAGAATCTTGTCAGTCCATCATACCATCAAGCCATTGGTGCATATACCTCTGAATTCTACTACCATATATGTTTTATCATACTTAGCTACTTGTTACAAGATACTAAATATGTGCAGGTGTGACCGAGTATTATGGTTAGGAAAAGGTATAAAACAACTTTTTTATAAGCGAGCAGAGTTAAGGCTGTCGGATCATCGGCCTGTGAGTTCAATGTTCCTTGTTGAAGTCGAAATCTTTGATCATCGCAAGCTCCATAGAGCTCTTAATTTCTCTACTGCTATAGTACATCCTGATATATATTTTCCTAATTGAAGGTTGACAGATGACGTAACAGTATTGTCTCAATACTAAGTGCTTGATGACCATTGTAATGAATGGACAATTGTGTGCTTGTCTCTTAGTTACACTGATCAATCTGATAAACATCTGGAAAGATTGTCATAATTTTTTAACGATATTTTTTCCCTAATAGTTTGATTGCGAAATTAGAGTAAATTTTTTCTTTTTATTGTTAATTGTACCATATGAAATAGGTGTTTCTTTTTGTAAGTTAGACTGAAAAGTTATATAATTTTCTCATCGTACTTTTGTTCCAAATCTTTTATTAATTAGCTATGATGCTCCTCGATGATAGTTTCATCAAAAAATTCTACTAAAAAGCCATAGAAAGACCAACACGTCCTTAACTTAAATAAACCAATTAAAATTATATATAATAATACTTCTTTTCAACAAGATACGAAAAAGGAAACAATAATCCGTCGAATAAAAATGAAAACAAAAAGGAACCCTAAGGTCCCCCTCCCAAGCGCATTTTAATTGCATAGTTTTCAAATGATGGGATTGGGGGACTTGTGAAAAGAATAATGTGGGATATGTGAACATATATATAATACATTATCCATCCCTTCACATGGAGGCGGATCCACTGCGAATAAAATATAATATATCTGAAGTGGATTCCTCTCCTGCTCTCCATGTGAGGGAGTAGACACTGATATGGACACCGCATTATGTAAAAGTAGCATATTTCCAGACTAATTATTTGCTAATCAGCTACTAACTATAACATTGATACGGAAACTAGCGAATTAATGTGTTGAGTACAAAGAACAAACAAATAATTATGTCGATTGATGGAGTTAAAACTAACAAACATTTCAAAGATACCAATAGATTGAATTGGCAGTGACCTAGTTTAGACTCCCACTAATTTTCTTTGATAAAGCTACTAAAAATTGATGAAACTATAACCCATAAATTAAGGCCTGACGACCTTATAATTTTTGCAGAATCAACTAAGATTGTTAAAGAATTGTATTTTTGGCAAAATTGGAAAAATAGAAGAAAAGATTCAAGGAAGTCGACGCGAAAAAAATATTGAACTCATCCTAAAACCTATGTTGGGACGTAAGTTATTTGATATGGTCAAATGGATGTTATTTAAGTATTATCTACATGTTTAATCGCTTTGCTCTTAAATCAGGTGGTTCAATAAATAAGTATGCTCAATAATTCATCAAGACAAGAAATGATAAATTGGAAAATAACATGATAATAATAGAGAAGAAATATACATTAATGTATTAAAATTATTACAAGTGTTCTCTAAAACTCACTTAGTTGCTCTCAAGGTCCTAACTCGCTTATGCCAACTTTTTAGTTCCAAATTAGGCCACGTTGTCCTATTATAACTTTGTCGCCTTTGAATGGAGGGCATAGAGCATTCCTATGATCCTATCCTAGGTTGATATCAATTTTCTCAATTCCTACTAAATATGTATAAGAAAATGTTCTAGCAATGGTGCTCAGTAACATATAGGCCTGTTTGATAGCCTCTATTTTTCTTGAAAGTTGGAATTTTTTTTCTTTTTCCACCTTCTTAGTTATTTGATAGAGAAATGTTATTCATCCTCGCTTGGGATGCATCCCCAGTTTATGTGACTTTAATGTGGCATTTAATGATATGTGAAATTAAATAAATCATTTAATTTCACCTATCATTTACATCTACATAGATTGGGGATGCATCCCCACTGGGGATGAATAGCATTTTTCAAATTGATATGTATAATTTTCTTGGGAATTGATTTTCCACTTGGGGTGCTCACGTGACCCATTTTCTTGGAAATTGATGAAAACTTTTTCCCATCATTTTGGTAGGAAAAGTTTTTTCAGGTTTTTTTTTTTTTTTTTT